TCCAGAGCCCCTGGCGGCACTTTATCGCCGCCGTAGAGTCTCCCTGGAGCTTTTTTTTTCTTCCAAAAATGTTCGAAAATGGAAAATGATGAGGGAGGGAATATTCCACATTCATCAAAGGATATTGATCAAGTTTCTCCTTCTGGGTCATGTTGCCAATTCTTTCCTGCAGTGTCCGGATGCCGCGGGTCCAATGAAAAGCCTCTTCAGGGTTCTGGCAGAGAAGATCCAGATTCTTTCGGGGACCCTTGAAGACCACCGTCAAACACCGTCCTTCGGGAACTGCACCAACCATCTGCCGCAACGTCTCCGAATGGCAGCCCTCACATACGCATTCCACTTCCGTGATGGAGACTGAGTAAGTGAGGCAGATGAAGAAAGAAAAGGAGACTTTTCAATTTTTCGGCGATTGAATTGCTTTGCTTCGGATCAAATTGGACGAAACTACACTGCCGCATGATTACACCATAACTTCTCCTCAGCTGCCGGTTGACCTGGCCTATCTTCGACCCACTTTTCTCCAGATTGTCGTTACGTTTCTCCATTTTCTGTTATCTCTTCTATTATTTTCTTCTCTTTTCTTTCTTATCGCTATTTTTTTATTTTTCTTCTTCGTGCTACCGCTATTTTTATTTTTATTCTTCGTGACAGGGGCTCGCTTTGGCCTGGGGAGTCAAATTCAGCATTCACTTCATTGATATCTGGCGCCATCTAGCGTCGTGAATGGGTATAATGTCTAGACCCCGAATATAAGACGACCCCCACTTTTTCAGCCTTATTTCAATGCAAAAAAACACCGTCTTATATTCGGGCCAATACGGTATATACTTTTTTTTTAAGGCTTTGAACACATTTTCGCCAGGGGTTCCAATAATTATGGAGGGTGCTGTATGCCCGCCATCCGTTCTACATCAGGTCTTGTTACAATTTAAGACCTACCCATAGTCGAGCGAGTTGAACCTGGTATTTCAGCTGTTGAGTAAATATAGAGCACTAAGCCAGGGCTTTTAAGGTCAAAAATGACGGCATGCCCTTTAATTTTAATGTTTGATCTCAATGTTTGAACATTTTTTTTCAGGGATCAGCTGCCTTTTTAAATACAACTTGGAGAGTCTATAAAAAAAAAAAAGGCACCGCCCTTCCCCTTCGGCCAGCTGAGGAGAATGGAAAATGCTGTGTTTTCATGTGTGACCAGAGCAGAAAGTAGCAATTACACTTCACCAAAATAGACACCATGTGAAATCATGTGTGACCAGAGCAGAAAGTAGCAATTACACTTAACCAAAATAGACACACCATGTGAAAAGCTACATTTGAAGAATTCACAGTATGAGTCAACATAGGAGCCTATTCCAGTTCATGGAACCCAATTAGAAAAAATCAGGATCAACTTTTTTTTAATTTTTTTTTTTTTTTTTAAATCGCAGCGGGAAATTTGCTTTCAATTTTACAACATTGCTGCATGAGCAGTCATTCTGTCACAATAACAGATGACAACAAACTCCGAATACACTCCAGACAACATAAACTGCAGACACAGCATGCAAACAATAACGATAAATAATGTTAAAATACGCTTGAAATTAAAGAGTGGCAGCGATAAAAACAGGTAGCAGTCCACTAAAGTTCATACTGGGCAAAATAATAAATTACTCTAATAGAATATACACAGTCAAACCCATAAAACTAATCAAATGGAGTTCATAAATAATAAAATGTCAGATGACAGTGATTGAATCCCTCTCAGAAAGATTTTCTCTCTCTTGAAAATGTTTTCCCGATTTAAATATATCATGCTTAGAAATGTGTCAACAAAGGATTATAGTATCGAAAAAAAATGCTAATCACTTACAAGATTGTTGCTCTTTGGCTCGACTGAAAGTTTTGTGGGACTGGCACCAAACTGTGACGCCATCTTCCAGCAGCTTGAGGGTACGTCGCTTTTGCCAGTGAGGTGATCGGACCTTTGCAGAGGAACGATTCATCGATTAGTTCTTTTTTTTCTGTGATGTTCAGTTAAATAAGACCATTTGCAAACATAACCTTTGACTTTGGGAACCAATGATAAATATTTTTGCCTATTTTCTCAGGGATGTTACAGAGCACATCAACTGACTGAATCATCATCAATTGATGTTTGGCATTTTCTGCAATGGGAAGACAAATTGCTTCGTCATGGTATGAGTATGACTGTACACTGGAGGTTGCTCTGATTTTAAACTGCATCTTAAGTTTGGATGACAAATTCTGTATTTTAAATTTGAAGGTTAAAGCTTTGTGGAAGATTGATTGCAAGAGAGGTTGGTGGGTCAGCAAAAAATATGAGCAGCAAGGAAAAAACCTCTCGTGCTCCTTTGAGGATCAGACATTATTGACGAATCAACACTGACTGGATGGTCACCACATTAAGCGTTGAAATCTGAAGCTGTGCAACCAATAATATTGCCAACATTCAAGTCAGTATACCTCATACCTTCACCATATTGGAGCCCTTCAGCATCCACTTGACGTCTTCATCATCCTGCAACCCTACAAGAAAAAAACAGGAACATTTGCTCAGGAAAGTTATATATTTATTCATTAAGCACGAAGTAAGTTTCTCCATCTCTACTTCTTGTATTTTATAACACCTTTGAATTGTTGCGTTTATGATTATTACTTTTATATTTTAGGGGTTCTAAACATGATGCCCAAAATGTAATTCCTCTTGGAAATTTGAAAACATTTTTTTTTTTTTTAAGTTTTCATACTTATAAAAATTGATTCTGAATGACTATATTGTACTGTCGAGGTTTGGAGTTCTCGAGGTGATGTAGTGGAAGATAAAGTTATCGGTTGGGTTTTTGTCCTCAAATACGTGAAATGTTCTTCTTTCACACATCAGCCTTTTTCATATCAATGCATGCGGGTGAGAGGGCTTGGAAGGTGTTTTTCAAAATGCTCTGGAGTGTGAAGGTAGACATAGTTCTGAGGGGGTGGGGGGGGGGCTCCCATTCTGTATTGTGATGTTATGGCACTATTAAGAATCAATGATCAAGTACAACTTTCTTGTCAAAGAGGTGGATTCGATCACAAAAGGCGCACTGAGGACCCAGGATCAAAATTTACCGTCTGCCACTGATATACAGTATATTACTTTTTTATTTTATTTTATTTTTTTTACTAAGCTTATTCTCTGCTACCCCCCACCCCAGCCCCTCGCGCGCACCCACTCCTCAAATTCCATCTGCGCCTCTGCATTCACCGCGATGGGACTACAATAAAAGATATATCAAACCAAAGGAAGGGCAGACGGGATGAACAGTTTGGGTGGTTTGAGTTGAAGCAACTTGAAAAATTTGTAATTGCTGACATGTGTTCATGAAGGTCGCAACATGCTGTACACTTCAAGACAGCGTGGAGAGCGCTGACCACAAACGTGTACTTGTAGTTGATTACCCCTTGAGAAAATTACAGACTACTCTACTTCACGGTAGAAATTCAATACGTTTCCGTGCAATAAAAAATAAAATACGAAATTAAAACCGTATGCCATTAATCGATTGAAACCTTACTTTACAATGCACGTACATACCCTGATATGACAATTTTGGGATTATGGGCAATTCAATTGGAAAACAGATTTCTTCTATTCATTGAAATCAATTGAACGACTGACCTAACTTTTTTTTCTGCAAGCTCCATCATGCTAATTCCTTTCAAATCACAAGTGACCTTTCTATCTGTCTATGTCTGTCTGTTTGTCTGTCTGTCACAGCCGAGATTGTTAACTATGAGGTAGACTTCACGGCATTGGCCTAAAAGAAAATAAATCCCACTATTTACTTTCCTCTCATCGGCAACTGATGTGAATCAAGAGAGTCGAGGAATTATTTGTACTGCATTTGAGAAATTTACATTCAAAACCCTTTTTTTTTTTTTTTCTATGAAGAGCTGACTTCCGAGTCCCTTCTTTGATAACGGTCTCGTTTAACGACCGATTACCATCATCTCTGCAGATGAGTTTTGGAACAACGACACATGCAAGGCTTACCGAGACTTCTTAGCGGATGGATGGCCTTAGAATCGGACGTCCCGTTCCCGTTCTTACGCACGGGGGGTGCTTTCCTTCTGTTTCCCAACATATTGTTGAGAGGGAGGATTTGCTTTCTTTATTCTGCGTCCCTTCCGTCACTGCGATATAATTGATGGCTCTTGCTCAGCACGCATATTATTTATCCTAGCGCAGTCGAATCCGCGTTGTCCCAACCTTCTTGTTGCTGACGTCACATAAACAAGATTTAGGAAATGCACGAAACCATGCGAGTACATCCATCGATTAGTACTGTATTTATAGAATATTTGGCAAACGTCAAGCGCCAGCAACATGCTTTAGGAATCACTCTCAAAACAAAATCCCATAAAGGTCACGAAAGACTGATATCACATGATTCTAAAATGATATATTAACTCTACCAATGTTAATATTAATAATGTTTACAATAAATAATCACAATAAAACACGTATATGGAGCTCCTTTATAAAGAAAATTATCAACTGTCTGCACGATTCTGCAAATATATATCATGCTGACCTGTTTTTATTCCATTACATTTATTTTGTGCTACAACTCATTTCCCTCCATTTCCGGTTTGGCATTATTCAACGACAGTAACTTGACAACTCGCAAATGATAATCGGATTGCGGTCATGTAAATTTAGATATCGAACGGTGATCCCGTAGCAACGAATGAAATACTCATTTTGTGGCTTTGTTGACATTTCAGACTGTCTTTCACAATCATCTGGAATGTTTACAGACATACATTTATGACCCTGCTGCAAAAAAACATCCAATGGTTGAGCATTGACCAACCTCGTCCAAGTCACGTGATGTAACTCCAGCGCTTCAACTGTCTCATACGGAACACTTTTAGAAGACAATTCCTTTCCAGACAAAAACAGATAAAGTGCCAATACTGTGTTCCTGTTGTTGCATTCATATTGAAGTGGTCTGATCAGGACCTGTGACTGGATCAGCCACTAAACCACAGACAACAGTAAGTTGACATTCTCGTCGTTAGCCTGCTAGCGCTACCTCGTCTCCAAAGTACAAAGTACTTGTATCGACGTACTAACATTTCTGTTACTATTCTGCAATGAGATGTATGTATTTGTTTTATCCATACATTCTCTGTACTGTCCTCAGAATAGGTCGCGGATTTTTGACGAGACCACAATCTGTATTTGTTACACTACTGTTACAATCCTCATAATATCGTCACTGACTGGCGACCAGTCCAGGGTGTATCCCGTCTTTTGCCCAAAGTCAGCAGAGATCGGCTCCGTCACACCACACCATCGTGAGGATTCGTGGTACAGATAATGGACGGATGAGCTAAATATTACATGAAAAATAATAACACTGCAGTGATCACATATAATACATTATTATATTAAATAATAATCGATACGTACCTCGTTTTTTGGGGGGGGGTATCACAGTGTCGTACGATTTCAACAGGAAAAAGCAATTAAAAAAATCACAAAAGCAAAATTGTCAGTTTCTTTTTATTTATTTTTAGCACACAATTGTGCGAGTAATAGTTTGTTTATCATAGTGTAATTTAGAATTATTCGAAATATCTGCGAACACGTCCCTGCTTAAAAAAAAAGACAAAATGTCCATTATAGACCAGCGTAGAAGCTCTCAGCATATCATCACTCTCCCAAAATAATGGCCAAAGTCATGTTTTCATTTTTATATCAATAAACATAAATGGACATACCACACAACAACAACACTAAGTGTCCTCGTTCCGATACATGCCAACCATGTTGTCTTTCATACGGAACCTGACATTTTCCCCGCTCTGGATTTAAATGAAGCCACCTTGTTGTCTTGCTTCTGACTGTCATTTGAACATGCCATGACGGGCGCTTTTTAACATTTCGAAATTAGGGCGGTCCGGGCACAATATGCTAGAGCCGTGCTTGACATTGTAAAAACAGTAACGGACCTGCTGGAGTACTTGCATGTAATTGGCAGGTAAATAAATTATATCGTCGGCCATGTATGAGACGTGGGCAATTGGAGACCACCTTGCACCTAAATCATGTATCAATGTGACATCCTCCCCAGCCTCTCAATAAGGATGGAGATGCTATTAAAATATATTTAAGATGATGATTATAATCTGTTGAAGAAACTGATTTCTACAATGATTCAGAGGGATTGCGCGACGCCGGCGTCATATTTCTGAATTAAATTCCGTGACGTCCACCATACACTTCTGCAGAGTCCTTAATTTATCAGCCTGCAGTCTCTAAAATCTCTACTTTTTAATAACCAAATTTGCAGATGTGCTGGGGACGTGCAATGAGGCGCATGGACTGAGCTCACAAACCACCTGAACTCTACCATTTCTCCCGGCATGAAAATGACGATGCACTCTTTATTATGCCGAGCACAGACTTCTTTCTGCCATCAAATTTTTGGATGAGTTGGGGGTGAGGCAACAGTGTGCCAGAACGCCCAGAAAGATGCACCACGACCCCAAGCACAGTCGACTAGGCCTGTGGTGGCACGAAAAATGAATTGCTTGTTTTTACGCCAAGCGCACGGAGGCCAGTCTACCAAAATCGGGCTCTCCATTTCTGTTTACAGGCATTCACCCTGGGGAATAAAAAGAAAAAAAAGAGCTCTGCTGGTCCCAGAAATGTCAGAGTCCGTGATGGATCACCAGAAACGTTTTCAGGCTGCTGTGAATGTCATTCACAAACTCCCCAAAAAAGGTATGTTGATAAGCATTATCGATTGCTCAGTCCCAGATATTATATCACTGATAGATATTTTTGACACACAGCATAGGGCATCCAAAGACAGCCCTTGTTTTTGAGTCGCATAAACTTATTTGCCTCAAGACACTATTGATTGACTTTTCTGAATTTTTTGTTGTTTTTTTTTTTTTTTAATATATTCAACTGATTTGTCACATTAAATATTCAGTGAGCTATTAAAAGTGTCAAAGTAGACTTTTTTAACTGCTAATGCATGAATTGTCACCAGATACTATGAATAACAAAATTAGATGACCTTTTTCAAAGGACAAAAATGTTTTTTTGCTGGTCTAATGTTATTTTTTCGTCATATTTTTAAAATGTTCCAGCAAATAGCGAATAAACTTGATGAAGATAATTGTAAATTGGATCGCAATATCTGTCTAAATCATTTTCTTAAAATTGTTTTGCTGTAGAATTGGATCAGTTTGACTCTGGGCATGTTCTTCCAAAAATGTCACAAATGCAAAAAAAAAAAAAAAAAAAAATCAAGAGACAACTTTTCACTCATTTTTTTTGATTGATTGTTTTAAATTAGTCACCGTAACTGGAGGGTTAAATGAGCCTAAAAAACATGATCTCTTAATCCTGTTTTTTAATTGAAAAGAGGCTGGAGTTTTACCTATTTCAGCTGGCATTTATGGCACATCACACGTTCAAACTCGGTGTGACTCGTCAATGTTACATAGGACATGTGCAAACTGTAACGCTTGACCGTTGTGTGTAAACAGGCTCCTACCAACCATCGTATGACGTCATGCTGCGCTTTTACGGGTTGTACAAACAGGCGATGTTTGGACCCTGCGCAGTGCCACGACCTGGCTTCTGGGACCCGGTGGGTCGCTACAAATGGTTTGTATTTTGGCTAGTTTTAAGATTGAGGGATTTACATTTTTTACACTGGTGGGGGGGGGGACAATAACAATGCACATTACCCAGGCCTTGTATTTGGCTCCTTGTTAACTGAATTTACAGTGCTCAGCATAATTGAGTTCATGACGTTGAGAGGTACCCGTAATTTAATTCCAGTGACTCCCCCACTCCCACACACAATGTTAAAGGCCTTGCATTAATGTCCTTATAACTTTATTAAACTGAATCGATTTAAGATATCACCCGTATAATTTTGTTGATGTACTTATATGACGTTGTTTCTGATTTCTTGTGTGTATTACCGGATATGAAAGGGACGCTTGGAGCCGGCTTGGAGACATGAGCAGCGCGAGTGCCATGGTAGCATATGTGGATGAGATGAAGAAAGTAGCACAGGAGGTACATTATGTCTTAATATTCGACAGTGCCCTTAGAATATTTTTATATTTTCATGTGTAAATGTCTTTTTTACTAACAGGTTATTGACACCTTGCCAATGAATGAGAAAACCGCTTCACTCTTCCACCATTTTGAGCCTCTCTATGCTGTTATTGATGACATGCCGCGACCCCCAGAGACCCTGCTTCATCTCAGAGAAGGTCGGGAATACCATAATATATCGTATGATAGTTTGGAACGATGATTTGAGATACAAATGTTTTGAGTTATGATTGTAGTCCAGGAATGAATTTTACTCTTATCTCAAGGCACCGCTGTACTGTACCATATACTGTACAGTGAAACTCCTCTCCAACGAAACCTACACGGGTGAAAATACCCCCTAGTGTGAAAAAATATTCATACATTAACACCATTCCCACTCTCCTGCCCCCCATACAACGAAAAATAACCCTGTTGCGTTATACGAAATCCTTTTCTCTGCTGTTGCCTCGTGACGAGATTCACTTCAACAAAGTCTAATCCAACAACGACCTCTACTGCTTCGTTTGGAAACAGCAAGAGCAACCACCACAGTGGGTTACACATGCGCAGTAGTCCAGGAAGTATTTGTTATTGTTACTTTCAGACGCAGCAAGAACATTGCATTGCTAAAATGGCAACAAAACGGACCTTTGAATGTCAATCAGCGAAGACAAGAAGTGCTCTGACGCTGGAAGAGAGGGTAAAAGTGATTGTACTGTCTCGGCCAGATTTGGACAGTCAGCTAAACTCATCTTCTACACCAAGACTCTGAAGACGTTATTCTTAGTCCACAGGTTTAATGATGGAGAAAAAGGTGAAACTATAAAATAAAATACAAGGTAATATTACTTTGAATTCACAACCAACAGAATAAAATAACATTACCTCAACCGCGAGATTAGCGAAACGTCATGGAGCTAACGCAACTAGCGAGTGCTAGCATAAATCGTAGCATGGTTTTACACATTGCCGAACAGCATTTCTTTTAACATAAAGCGTCACAGAATTGTTCACTGACAACAAAACAAACTTGTACATACCCACGATGCTACCAAAGGTGTGAGATGTCTGTGGATTGTGCTGGATTAAACACGACGACCATAACGTTTCTCTCATAGGCGATCTATCACTCTACTTCCTGCTTCCGCGTACGCGTCTTCCGCTTTGACGACGTCACGTCCGGTTGTAAACTATGCTGTTTGCAATGGAATCAATAAA